GGGGGGGGGGGGTGGAGAGCAGGTGCAGTTGAGGAACAGGGAGACCCTCCTGGACTCTCCCTGCTGGACTGCGGAGCCTGGAAGGCGTCCCCCCTGCCCCCCGAGCTGGCGTCAACAGCATCAGGGCTTCTCACCCTCCATCCACACTGTTGATGTTTGGGGCCCGATCTCTGTTCGTGGAGGGCACTGTGGGATGTTTAGCACATCCTTGGCCTCTGCCCACTCCATAGCAATAGCACCCCCACAGCCAGTGGTGACGGCAAAAATGTCTCCAGACATTGCCAAATGTCCCTTGGGAGGCCCAGTCACCCCAGCTGAGAGCCACTGGACAAGGGCGAGGGGAGCAGAGCGTTGGGGCAGAGGAGGACCTGCGGGGCCAAAGGCCTGGAGGTCAGAGGCGGTGGGGTCACTGTGGCTAGGGAGAAGCAGCAGGTAGGGATGCGTCCCGTCAGGCCCTGTAGGTCACTGTAAGGACTCGGGGCTTTTCCTCTGGGGGACCGGGCATTGGCTACAGTGGACCCGTACAGGTGGGCCAGGGAGCCTGTTGACCGTGACCACAGCAGCCTGACCCTGCAGGTGGGAAGAAGGGGGCAGACTGCAGGGACAGTGCCACCCCCCCTGCCCAGGACGCCTCTGCAAATGTGAGCACCGGTGGCAGGGCCGTACTCGGGGGGCCCCGGTCCCAGGACAGACCCCAGGGGCGTGGACTTAGCTGCCTCTGACCTTCAGGCTAGCCTGGCCTTGGGCGGGCGGGGAGTCTCCCTGGTGTGGGTGAGAACCATTTCTAATTAAGGCGGTGACTGCTCAAGGACGTCAAGTTCCATCCTGTCTGGAGGGAAAACCTCCCCGTCCAGTGCTGCGTCCTTGCATTGACGTCCCTCTTACCAGAGAAATGGATCCCGCCGCTGGCTCTTACCGCGTGCCCGGCGGGCGCGGGCTTTTCCCCACCCTCACACCAGTCGGGTGCGAGTCACTATCATTTGGTTCGTGTATGGTGAGGAGGAGAAGCCAGAAAGTGCAGGGTCTTGGGACCCAGGGGAGCCCGCTGGCTTCAGCACCTCCAGCCTCGCCCACCATCACTGGAAGAGTCTGGGTGTTTTGTATGTGCTGTGCCTCCCGCTGCCGGCCGCCTGTGCCAGTCCCCAGCCCCGTTAACAGAGGAGGACCCCGAGGCCCCGCGAGGCGGAGGGGCTGGTCTGAGCCTGCAGCGTCCCGACGGTGGTCCGGCCGCCCACCGGCACCAGCTGATGCCTCGGGTCCAGCTGCCCACCGCCTGCGGCTCCTGTGCCCTCTCAGCAGCAGGCCCTCTCCTGCCTCAGAGCCTTCAAAGACGCCACTCCCCTGCCAGGAACGCTCCTCCCCAAGGGCCGGCCCCTCTTGCCAGCTCAGCCTCCGCCTCGCCTCCCTGGGTCTCACCCACCCCGCCCAACGTAGCATCCGGACACCAGGTCCCCTGTGTCCCTGGTGTGGCCCTGATGCATCTGTAGTGACAGGCACTGGTGTACTGACCCGTGTGCAGTCTGGGTCCTGTGCCTGCCGCTGAGCTTGGAGCCCGTGGGGTCCGCTCTGTCCCGCCCTTCCCTGCCCTCCCCAGAGCCGTCCTGAGTGCCTCCACGGTCCAGGACCGGGCTGCTTCGGGCTCTTCCCAGGCCGGCTGCAGCTCCCTCTCCCAGGTGTTCCAGAAGACTGGGTGACTTCCCCATGCCGCCTGTTTGAGAGAGGGACTGATGTCATTTCCCAGTGTCTTTCACTGGGATGAGGGCAGGGTGGTCAGGCCTGAGATCTGATTACAGAGAGACCCCGTGGGAGAGCCCCTGTCCCCCACCCCGAGCCCGTGAGCTGTCGGGGTCCCGCTGGCGCCTCACCCCTGCTTTGTCTTCCAGGGCCCTTGCGTCCAGCCTGAGTTCCAGCCTCGCTGAGCCGACCGCCCTGCGAGCTTCCTCCCGCGGAAGCATCCCCAGGCGCTGACCATGTCTATTATGGACCACAGCCCCACCACGGGCGTGGTCACGGTCATCGTCATCCTCATCGCCATCGCGGCCCTGGGGGCCTTGATCCTGGGCTGCTGGTGCTACCTGCGGCTGCAGCGCATCAGCCAGTCGGAAGACGAGGAGAGCATCGTGGGGGATGGCGAGACCAAGGAGCCCTTCCTGCTGGTGCAGTACTCCGCCAAGGGACCGTGCGTGGAGAGGAAGGCCAAGCTGACCCCCAGCGGCCCAGAAGTCCATGGCTGAGGCGGGATGCCGAGGCCCCCAGGCCCGCTTGCAGCCAGCGTGGAGGCGCGGGCGGGGGCCACTGAGAGGCGGGGCTGACGCTTGCTGGCACGGCCTCGCCGGGCTTCGTCACCGCATGCACGGACTCCCGACGTCCCGGCCGTCCTGAGCCAGGACCCGGTGGCCCCGGGCGTCCCCTCGGCCTCCTGGTGGGACTGCCCATTGCAGGCAGTGGGCAGGCCTGACCTCGCCGGGGCTCTCGACCCCGTAGTGCTCTTGTTACTTGAATGTTTAGCTGAGCCTGTTCCGGACGGAGCTACTTCTGTAACGCGGGGACTCACAACCCTCCGAAGTGTAAATAGGCCCCGGAAGCATGTGCTTAGAGCCTCGTTTGCTGATTTTTAACGATCCCGTGTAGAGCACGTGGGACCGACCGTAGCGATGATGAGCCGACGCAAGGCTCCGCCGGGGGCGGGGGCCTGGGACACGGGAGGGCCTGCGGTGCACGGCGCAGGGGTCTCCACACGGGCGTGTGCAGGCAGAGGATGTGACCCGTCCGTTCTCAGCGTCGTGGCTCAGCAGCTGGGGTGCTGTGGGGATTTCTGCTTGGCTGGCAACGGATGGAGGAACCACACGCCCCTGCTTCGGTCGCCGGAGACCAGTTCCTGTTGAGAGCAGAGTTACTGCAAGGAGGCTGCTGCCGCTGGTGAGCCAGTGAAGGACGAGTCAGGGCATGCGTCCCGAGGGCTGCCGGGCGGCCTGGCGGCGGAGCAGTTTCTCGAGCAGGCCGAATGCTCTCCCCCCTGCCCCCACCCCGTGCTGTCCCCCTCCCCGGCGTCACTTAGCGCAGGCTTCGCTGGAAACACCAGAGCCCAATGCCCCGACCTTCATCTGAAACCCAGCCCACCCGGGAAAGAGGAACTCGTGCTTTTTTGTTTGTTGTATTTAGTATTTTCTGCACTGGAGGGTGGGGGGAGGTTCGGGGGGTTTTTCCCTCCCCCGTTCACACATTAGTTTCCTTTCTTCTCAGAGTACCACCCACCTGCTGGGTCCGGGGCCCCTCCTTCCCTGGCGGGCCACCTGGGAGAGTACCCCGACCTGCCTCGGAGAGCCCCGAGTGCGGCCCAGGGTTGTGAGCACATCACCTGCCTGACGGCCCCCTGGTACAGGGCGCCTGGGGGAGGGTGCGGTGGGGGGGAGGGGAGAGAGTGTCAGGTTCAGGACCGGGTTTCCACGAAGGTGAGTTGGTGGCTGTCTCGGTGAGGCCGGCACCCCCAAAGCCTGCATCCCCAAGGCGTCCCTCTTGGGTGAACTCGCTAAGATTGTGAATCCCAATCCCGAAGCACATCCTCAGCTATGGTGATTAAAATGTGGCTTGTGTAGGCATCCTTCGTAGTAAACTGGGGGCCGGCCCGGGCTTCACCTGGGAGCCCTGGCGGCTTCCACCCCACTCCCAGCCCACCCCTTCCCCCTCCCACGCTCTGGCCTCCTGCTCAGGCTGGCCGAGGCTCCTCTGGCCTCACCAAGTCTCTTCAACAAAGCATGTTGAACTCATCTACTTTCTGGAACCCCCAAGGAAGGAGCTTAGGGAACACTTCATTTTGGCGGCACTTAAACTGGGGGTCAAACGTGAAGTATCAGCTCGGGGGGAGGGAGGAGGGTAGCTCTTCAGCCGGGTGAGCTGAAGGCAGGAATGAGATGCCCCAGGGGGCTACCCAGGAGCCCAGGCAAGACAGGCGGCTGGGCCTTATTTAGCCCAGGAGAGATGTGGGCCCCTATATGGGGATGGCCGAGCCTGAGAAGTCAGGCAAGACCCCCTCGGAGCCCCGGGGGGCCGGAGGGGGCCAGCTCGTTCCAAGATGCTGGGCAGGAGATCAGGGAGATGGCTGGCTTGCTGAAGGGCCCTCCAGACAAACGTGGAAGGCGTTGGGGTGTCTGATCCGTTCTCCCCGCATTTCAGAACTTCCAGGCTTTCTACCTCACCTTCCCGCAGCCAGCCAGCAGCACACGCCCAGGTTGCGTCCCCTTGGGGAGCCGAGGACCCCGGGGCTGACCCCGACCGGGGTGGTCCCAGGGAGGTTTGGGTTTTGAAACCATGAACCGCCACTTTGTCCTGGGTTCCGCTCCTGGCGGGTCCTCGGTCCCACGATGCCCCGGTTGCCAGGGGTGACATCCCTGCCGTGGTGGTGGGTGGGTGCCCGGTCACGGTCACAGGCACAGTGGGGCACCAGTGGCGGGGAGGGGGGTCTCTGTGGGGCCATTGGGAGTGCCTGGAGAGGCCGAGAACCACCACATAATAGCGCTCATTGTTCCTGG